GAACACTTGGCAAACTTTTCATTAGTCTTTTTGAAGTAATCCCACGCACGTGACTTACTACTCATGTTTTATTGTTTAATTCTAAATTGTTTGTTACTCCACTCAACTTCAAACATCCACAATAAAAAACTGACTGACTGACTTTTGTCTTGTAAATGAATGATATACGCACGGTAATTCCCCAACCATAGAGAACAATCTCAATGTCTATACCTTTGTCACTATAGCCGGGGAATAACTTACATACATGCATACCTCGACTCTAGGGATGTAAAAGTAGTACCCGAGTAAACAATCGATCGATAGTTTTAAAAACTATCGATAGTATCGATAGCCATTTACTATCGATACCATCGATAGTCTATCGATGTTTAACGTACACTAGCTAACGTATGTTCAGTGTTCAATGTGACGCCGACAGAGTTGAGCCGCGACAAAAAATGGGTAAATGCGTAGTGAAAGAATGCTACTCAAGGTCACAAAAACGTAATAAATCAAGCGGAATCACTTTCAACACATAATTTTTAGTTCTTGTTTTCATATAAACGTAAAAACCTCAAATAATAAAATAAAATAATCGAATATCGCCATTTAGGTTCAATGTTACCACTTTTCGGCATTTGTGATTATCCTAGGAGACTATATAATTAATGGAGTAAGTTAATTTGCTACCTTTGATTTTAAATATTTTGGAAATTTTAATAAAAACTACGTTTTAACTTTCATACAAAATAATTAATTATTGTTATTTTAGTTTATTCATGAATTATCCATTAAATATATTTTATTACCTTCTTATTTTATATTAATAATTTTATGTTAATTAAAATTTCATATACATTTTATATTAATTATATTCTATTACCTGTTTTATATTGTTTATTTTATTAGTACAATAAAAATACTTGTAAAAATATGTTTTATTTCATCATTATGTTTACTTCTATATACACTAAGTCAATATCGGAGTTTTATATATTGAAATAAATATCAATTATCGGCTTTATTTAAAAAAAAAACAATCGTAAGTCATTTTTTTTAGTTCATTATGTTCAAATGTTAGATTATAGTTCTTATTATTTTTTAATTAAAATAAGACGGTTATGCTTACCAATATTTTTCAGTAAGAGTTTTCAAAAATACTCGTTTCTTTATATTGTCAGCTGTTTTATAATATGTTAAGAAGCACAGGTGCGACAGATATAGCTGAAGAAATCAAATATTTAACAGCTATTTTTGATATTAAAGTAGTAAGTAAACTGCATCTACCCATAAGCGGACCAATGTAGAAAAGTTTAGAAACGAACGTAAGTTTCGCAACCTAAAATTTGAAAAACGCTTTTTTGAGAACCAAAGGGAATCGCTGGATATGAAAATTAGCCGAATAGTGTCCCATAAGTATGGACACCGTAAGTGAGGCGCTGCAATCGCTAAGTTCAGTCACAAAAAGTCATTTTCAGTCTATTTTTTCGATCAGATGCTAAACCACTTGCACATCCACGCACAGTAAAAAAATTCCCCATTTTTTAATGTTTCTTCTTTCTTTTTGTCAAAAATTACAAAATTACGAAGCATGAAAATTTTCTCACCAATGCCGCGTAGAAAATTTGTATATTATTCAACTAACTTCATCTACTTGTACTCATAAACAGCTAACTTCGCAGTCACTACTCCGCTATAAATTCTACAATTTTCAAGGACAGGCGGGCTATGCTTTAGTACGTAGTGATCGTTCTCCTGTTCTCTAACCTTCATGCAGCGGACAGTCGATGACAACAGTAACTCAAATTCATAAGATGTCTAAGCGACCAAAATAACTTTATATTAACATCGAAGAACTTGTTTCGTCGTTTTCTCCATTAGTTCACATGCGCAAACACTTAATACACAAAATCGCATCACTGTTACGTAAATTCACTTCAAATCATTATTCAAACGATAAAACAAGTTTTTGGTTGTACGTCAGTTCAACTGATGAAAGAATAAGGAGCGCAGTGGTAGATACAAGGATTTACCGGGGGGTCTAACGTAGGAACGGATCATTATTTGGTTTTATGCCGAATTAATGATCTATTCAGGCGTAGGCGCCATTGGACATCTGTGTCTACTACTGCGTTACAACGTATTAGAACAGAAATGTTCCAAGATGAAGGTGAGAAAAACAAGTACAAATGGAGATTGAAAGAAAATATAAGTGGTTTGGATGAATTATGTATGAATGAGTTAGACTTGGAGAATGTATGGTAAAATATTAAGAAATGTTTGGTGGATGCAGCTACCGAAGTATGTTGTGTTATTAAGAGAACGAATGAAAGGAAAAATAACACGTTATGGTGGGATGATGAGATACGTATGGAAGTTGAAGCAAAGAAGAGAGCATGGCTAGATTTACTAGCAACAAGGCTAATAATTCTGGCTTGTGTGCTTGTGTTAGATGATATTAAAGAAAAAAGGCAGTCTTTAGACAACTAAATAAGAAAGTAAAAGAAGTAGTTGAAAGGAAAAAGCAAGAAAGAACGGATAAGAATGATAGAAGAATATCAGATAACTGCCAGGGGACGTTCAAAACAGCCTATAATGAATGCTATAAGGGACGAGAATGGCTATATTCTGAATGATGAAGTTTTGAGTTTAAAGAGATGGAAGGAATATTTTGAAAGCATGTTATGAGTGAGGAGACGACGTATGAACTAAATGAAATAGAAATTTCGAAAGAATAGGAAAGAGGTAGCGAGATAAGTATAGATGAAATAATGAAAGCAGTGAAAAGCATGAAAGCAGGTAAGGCAGCCGGATATGATAGAGTTTCACTCGAAATGTTAAAGGCTGGAGAGGAAGTGGTGACAGGCCTGCTGCACACCTTGTTTAATTTATGCTGGGAATTGAAGCGGGTACCGGTAGACGGGAGCAAAGCCGTGATATTCCCAAAATATAAAGGAAAAGTGTCGCAGCAGGACTATAAAAACTACCGTGATCACATCACAGCCTTCTTAGCATTGTGCGAAAACTGTATGCTAAGGTAATTGAAAGAGTCATGAAAGAAACTGATGGAAGAATTTGGCATGTGCAAGCAGGATTTAGAAAGGTAATGGGGTGTATAGATCAAGTCTTTTCCAATTTTTCGACCAAAAACCAAAAGGTTTTCTGTGCGTTCATGGACTTGGAAAAGGCCTATGAGAGAGTGGACAGGGATGTGCTATAACAAACACTGAAGTCATTTGGGTTGAGCGCTGGGTTGATACAGGCATTAAAGTCTCTTTATAGGGAATCTGGTGCTTGTGTTAGGATCAACTGGGTCTACTCGAACTGGTTTGGCATCCATAAAGGTCAGACAGGGCTGTGTGGCTTCCCGTGGCTGTTCAGATAGGGCTGTTTGGAAAATTTGAAAGTTGAAGAATGTGGATTAAGAATGAGTGAGTTAATCGTCAAATGCCTTTTGTACGCCGATGATCAAATTATTCTTGCGTCGTTGGCGGCCGAGTTGCAAATGATGGTTACATTAATGAACAGATCACTGAAAGAAAGGGGTATGAAAGTGAACGCAAGTAAGACGAAAGTTATAGTTTTTAAAAGAGAAGAAAATAAAACGATATGTGATATAAGAATAGAAGGGGAGTTGATCGAGCAAGTAAATGAGTTTGTATATTTGGGATGCGTATTTAGCAATGATGGGAGATATGATAAGGATACAGAATGACGAGTGAACGCAGGAAATAGAGAAAATGGGGCCGTATACTCTATTGTAAAAACTCAGAATGTGTCAAAAAAAGCACGTATAGCAATTCACAATGCTGTGTTGGTACCTACTTTAACGTATGATAGTGAAAGTTGGGTGTAGCAGAAGAAGCACGAGAGTAGAAAAAAGGCAGTAAAAATGCGGTCGTTAAGGAGTATGTTAGGGCTGAATCTGAATGACAGGGTAAGAAAATAAGAGAAGAGTGTAGTTTACAAGATGGTGTTGTGACCAGGATTAAGCAGGGAATGCTTCGGTGATTTGGTCATGTGGAAAGAATGAATGAGGAAAGAGTGACAAAGCAAATTTATGTTGCAGAAGTGAGAGTGCGGTAGCGGTAGAGTCGGAAACGTCCTAGGCGAAAATTTATCGACCAAATTGGCAATATATTGAAAACGGGAAATTGTTTACAATAAAGTACTTTTTATTCAAGTTAAAGTTACAGCCTATATACGTCCCACTCCTGGTCACAGGCCTCTCCTCATTTCTGAGAGGGTTTTAGGGCAAGGAATTGTCCGCCGCGCTGCTCCAATGCGTGTTGGCGAACTTCACATATCTTCTTCGAAATATTTTGTTTTCTTATTTCTCAGACATGCAGGTTTCCTCACGATCTTTTCCTTCACCGCCGAGCACGTGGTAAATCAGCACTTAAAATTGCAATTAGCAATTTCATTGGTGCCGGCGGGGATTGAACCCAGTTTTCTCTCGTATTGTGAAATTTACTGCGAGTGCTAACCATCTGAGTACGGTACGGTACGGTACGGTACCATGGTAGTAGTAAGAATAAAATAGCATCTACAAGCAGGTATTCAATATTTGGAAAAATATTATCAGATGAGATGTTTTTTGTGGTGGTCATATAAACAACATAGACCTCCCCCAAGTAATGCCACAAAGCAGGCCTATATTCAGCAGTGGACTTGTGAGGGGCTGTAATGATGATGATGATGATGATGATGATGATGATATAAACGACATGTATGATAAAAACGATGTTGCACATGGTAATTATAATCAGTATTGGTTAAATTGTCAAGAAAAAAATATGTTATAGATTTTTGAGATGAAACGCACCGTTTGGTCCCATAGCGTGCTGCCTCTACTCCGATACTATTGTTTTTAAAAGTTAAATTTCCTTTTTCCTATTTGCTGAATTTTTATTTAGGTGCTATGTTCACAGAAATATTATGTTTGTTGAAATTATTTTATTTCGTTACGAAATAAATAATTACTTCAATGTAAAAACATTGTCTTTTTTGAAAATCCATTATGATCTATTATATGGTGTTATCAAGTACTGTAGACTTACTTGCAATTTGGCTTGCTCATTTTCTTTTTGCTTGGTTATGGATTTCAAAAGATTCATTGATCCTATTGCTGCCATTTTTTGCTTCTCCACATTATCACCTAGTTCTTTTAGTGTATTTAATAGTGTACTTATAATTTTTCCGAATTCTTGAACCTCTGTAATTAACAACACTGTTGAATGAATCATTTTTATTCTGTACTAGCCGGTATAATTATACCGTTTGTCCCGCAGAAGAAATAATTGTGAAAATATCGTTTTAAATTTCAAAGAGTTAGATTGCGGCATGATAATACAATAATTGAAATTGAATGATCTACATATAAATTTCTAATTTCGAATAAATTGTCGGTATGATAAGCGCCACCTAGTGTAAGTTAATTGTACTAACACCTATAATCTTCACGCAAGAGCAAGCCTAAAGTTGACAGTGCTGAACGCAATCTGATGAACGGTAAGGCTGCGCATAAAACACGAATAAACAAACATTAATTTTTATATATTAAGAAGATAGTTTGGAATTACTACACACCAAGTTTTTGATAGAAATTACATATTAGAAAAAACGATGCGTCAAGTATATTTGTCATTCCCTGGGTTTCGTAAGAGGCGACAGAAGGAAACTGAACCAGGAGATAAGCAGCAGCATCTTCCTGATAACAGCTAAATAAATATAAAAAACGGCCGTTGCCAACCCGCTTCCTAAGCTTGGCAACTATGGCAACTATAGACTTTTGATAGGTTGAAGTAATATGGTAATTGTAATTCGTAAGATACATGTACGATATCGTTATTCTTAGGTTTAATTGATATTAGAATTAAAAACACGCATTGTTTATATTAACAACTTCCCTGTCCGCGAAAAAGACACAATAGTTAAACAATAGAAATGTTCATATTATGACTCATGGAACAGTGAAATGGTTAAGCTGTGACGTCTTATTGAGAATACTAGGATATCACTACATGATTAATTACCTACCCAAGATATACATACAAAATGAATAAACTTTATCAGGAAGTTCATGCTAACAGGCGCATCCTTGGAAGGATCTTGCCAACGTCTAGTTAAGGTCTCAAATTGATAAAGATGATAAATTTTCTCAAAATGTATCTACTTAAGGTAATAAATACAGAAACTTACGGATTTCACATGTATTTTAACACAGACCTAGAATTTTATGCTACGCTAGTCTTAATAACTTAAGAAAAATTGATCACAAACTGATGGAATTATTCTAAGGAAAACGTTTTCTATTCAAAGTGAGTTTGAGATGATAAAACGCGTACTAACTTGTTTCATACAATTTACACGTATCTTTTAGATCTTCAGTATCCTTGAGCACAGTATTTTCTAAAACTCTGATCTTATTAATGTCATCATAATATAAATGTGCTTTTTGTAATTCGTCAGCCATTAGCACAATTTGAAATATTATTAAATTATAGCTTAACTACTCGCCGCCTTATTTTATTCTGACGTCGAACATTTTGTTTGTACAATCTTTGTTTGTTTTTTTAAATTATCGTTGCTTAGCAACGTCAAAAAGCCAAGCCCGCCCAGCCAGGCCCCGGCCGCACTGTGGAGTGTAGAGAAGGCCACACATTTAAACTCAGTCAGAAAAAAACTTTTCAAAAAAAGTTCATCTACAGAGGGAAATAACACCAGGAGATATCGTCTTCCTAATACCAACTAGAAAGTAAAAAAACTGTGTTAGCCAACACGCTGCCGACTGTCTCAGTATTTTTTTGCGCCCGAAGCAAAAATGGGCAACCCTCCGGAAAGCGGGGGGAGGGAGGCGGTGAATGCTCATAGCATACCACGCAGCCGGCTGCGTGGTTATGTGGAGACTTTTACCCACTAAACACCGCCTTTTAGGACTGTCTCAGTCTCAGAAAGGGCCCTTTATTAGCAGCAGACTTAAATAAGCTGGATGTAATGGACACTTACGGAGGCAAAAAAATATCCCTGCCTATAGAATATTTGTGTTAACAACTAAAATTAGAACCAGAGTGCCTGACGTGCGTCACATACACATAGCCCAACGGATAAGTAAGCTGAAGTGGCAGCGGGCTGGCTATACAGGAAGAATCTCTATAATGCCGTGTATGGTTGTAAGAGAATCCACTACCTCCTACCCAAAAATATATGTTACTATTTAGAAGCTCTACGACTCCATACAATCCCGTGAGTATCGTAAGAGGCGTCAGAGGGAAAGTAAACAAGATATAGGCAGCACTATCTTCCTGATAACAATTCAAAGTATTGAAACATTGCGGTTGTCACCTCACTTGCTAAGAGAGAGCAAGTATGAGCAACTATAAGGACCACCTCATAAATACCAGCGTGAAATAGTATAATCCTTCGTATGAGTAGAGAACCTTTTACTGGAAACGAGGCATTCCATGTTAGTCTCAGGGTACAAGTAATATGATGTAGTTAGGCCAAACCACACCACAGGTGGGGTCTTGTCACCCTCCAAAAAAAAAAAAACTATGTAAATATTCCCCTATTAGATAAGGAAAAACTATCTGTAATAATTTCTCGATTTATTGATAGTTGTGATGGAGCGAGAAATGAGGAGGCAGAACGTGGTCGTGCCTCGGTATTACATGCCTTAAGCGCAAAGCGCGTAGGTACGTTCTACTAGCGTCTAAAAATCAAAAATCCAACGTTTAGTCGCATGAACTCGTATCTAACAGTCATATTGAACATATAAATAATATAAAAAACACATTTTCAGAAAGATAATTGTTGAACTTATTATTATTATTATTTTTAAATCGATTAATTGCTATTTTTACATTAAAAAAGTGGTTTTAGTAGCGTATGGTGTAGATTTATCACGTCCGCATGGAAGGGTAAACACGATAAATTTTGAAAATATCTATTGTTCAACCGTTTAAGTAATATGTACTTACGTACTAGAACAGCTATCTCAAACAAAACCGGCCAAGAGCGTGTCGGGCCACGCTCAGTGTAGGGTTCCGTAGTTTCCCGTCCGTCACAATAAGTGTTCCCACTTATGAGTTTAAAGGTGGGTATCCATTATGTTCGCGCTCCAGCAACGCTCCGCGCTCCTGCAACTGCTCCCGGTAGTGTGTACGTGCGCGAACATCCGCGGCAGGCGCTCCGACTTTCCATCCAAGTTCAAAATGATTTTCCTAGAAAGTCCTTATAAAGTTCTACTTTTCAGATTTTTTTTCATATTTTCTAAACTTATGGTTCAAAAGTTAGAGGGGGGGGGGGACACATTGTTTTTTACTTTTGGAGCGATTATTTCCGAAATTATTGACATTATCAAAAAATGATCTTAGTTAACCCCTATTCATTTTTAAATACCTTTCGAACAATATATCACACGTTAGGGTTGAAATTAAAAAAAAGTCACTTCCCACTTTACATATAGGGGGGGCTACCCTAATAAATAATTTTTTTTCCAAATATTTTACCACTTTGTCGGCGTGATTGATACACATATTGGTACCAAATTTCAGCTTTCTAGTGCTAACTGTCACAGAGATTAAGCGAGGACGGACAGACGGAGAGACAGACATGGCGAAACTATAAGGGTTCCTAGTTGACTACGGAACCCTAAAAAATGTGCGCTACTCTGTGTTCGCGCGGTTGTTTTTTTATCATAGAATAAATATAGGTAGAATGATCCGTAGGTAATAATAGATTGCATTGTTAAATAGGTAAATTATATCGAGAACAACATTTAAATTTCGTCATTTATTTTGTATATTATATTTGCTTATTTAATATAATATTTAGAATACCAGTCGTTCATAAATGCTGGGCACGCGAGAGTTTAAAATTGGAAGAATTTATTCCACTTTGAGTTTGATGTGAAAACCTAAAAATAAAATAAAAGAATAATAAGCAGATTTAAACATGAAATATTTAGCCTAATTATAATAACTTGTTTCTACAAAAAATGTGCATATTAATATATTCGTCCTATACTAAATTACTCACAGAAATGTCGCATCTGAACATATTGATTTCATAATTTTTTACGTGGTAGAGCCATGCTGCAGCTATATTAATTGTATAGTTGTAGCACGAATGGGTCGGCTCGACCGGGGAAGAACCACGCTCTCACAGAATACCAGCGTCAAATAGCAGCTTAATGCTGCTGTGTTTCGTATGGTGAGTGTAGAGAACCGGAGACCCTTTTTACTGGAAAAGAGGCATTCCATCTTAGTCCTCAAGGCTGACAACGCATCTTCATTTTGATTCGCAAACGAGGACAGATGTAGATGTCTATGGGCCACAGCAACCACTTACCATCAGGTGGATTGTGTGCTCGCTTGTTCACCCTTTTCCTATAAAAAGAAATAATCTATATTCAATGACACGAGATGGTGTCTTAGGAATAATTTGTTTTATTATTAATCTATAATAGTTTTTGTATTGATTAAGTATCTTATTAACCGATGAAAAGTAATTCCTTAGTTTTTACTGACATTTCTTGAATTATTTGTGCAATATCTAAGTACATACGACGGCAAATTTTTATCAAGAGATTTTTTTAAATCAACACAACACGTGACAACTCTACAAGTGCCTAGTGACTCACAGAGTACATTATATATACCTGGAAGAGTGACTGATTAAAGTCAATGATTTCAAAAGGAAGGATAGACCCATTTAAATATTTTACTCATAACTTTTTCTTACAAGAAAAAGTAGCGCATCTGTCATAATACAAACGTCATATCAAAACACGACGTAACCAGGGTCGGATTTCGTAGTGTAATTATCCTAATTGTACCATTATTTCATAGTTTTTAGTACATAGTATCGTAATAAATACGACGAGGTCGACTTGTATTATTATTGGGTCCTTTTACATTTTGAAATTACCCCTACGATATCGAGAATTTCTGTAGTGTACATGAGTACCGTGTTTTTTTAATAAAATTAGTATTAGCTCCCTTTCTGGTCAATCGATGCTCGATCGATGCATTTATGTTGCATCCTTGATACAACTATGATGAGGGGCTACCACGATAAAAACTCTATGCTCCAGAAGCAATCAGTTTGAAAACAGAATTTCAAAATATTTTATGGATCAGATTTTCAGATTCAATTAAGCACATTTGGTTTCTTTTGTACTCTTATAGTTTTACCCTTATTGAATATAAATTATATTAGGTACCTTATTGAATATAAATTATATTAGGTAATGCAGGGAATAGAGTGAATGGGGCACAACACTCTATTATGAAGAACCAGAATGTGTCAAAAAAGGCACGTATGGTAATTCATAATGCTGTGTTAGTCCCTACTTTAATGTATAGTAGTGAAAGCTGGGTATGGCAGAAGAAGCACGAAAGTAGAATAAATGCTGTAGAAATGCGGTCTTTAAGGAATATGCTAGGGTTGAATCTGAATGACAGGGTGAGAAATTGCGTGATAAGAGATAAATGTGGTATGCAAGATGATGTTGTGACCAGGATTAAGAAAGGAATGCTTCGGTGGTTTGGTCATGTAGAAAGAATGAATGAGGAAAGAGTGACAAAGCAAATTTATATGGCAGATGTGAACGGCAGAGTCGGGAAGGGACGCCCTAGAAAAAAGTTTATCGACCAAATTGGCGATATTTTGAAAATGGGCCACGTTAGAAGTACCCTTAACTGACGAGCATGTATGCGTAGATATATGAATGTAAAGGAGGCGAAAGAGGTATGTCAGGATCGTGCCAAATGGAAATCCGTAGTCTCTGCCTACCCCTCTGGGTGACAGGCATGAGTGTTTATCTATTAGGTACCAATATTCAAAATTTAATTTACACTAAGTTCTTTAGACATAAATTAAACAGAAATAAAAATAAAACCGTCAAAAAGAAACGTATAGATAAACTATACGCGTGACGCCAAAAACCCGGCACATGTGAAAAAAGAAACATAAAACGTCAAACGTGATATAATTTTTTTTTAAATAGTATAATTTTATTTTCCATGTACAATATTTTTGAGGGTCTGAATCCTGCCCTGGCCTAATCTTGCTAACGTAACTAAACTAACTGTAAAATAAAACTTCAAAAATGCGTTTATATAATAATTTAATTGTAACAAAATTAATATACGTTTATTTACCGATGATACGATATCCCAGGTTTTTTAAATCTTTGTATCGTAATTTTTGCATTCTTTTACCACGCAACTAGACATATTTGTGACAGACAAATCTGTCCTGCGCGCGCACTACTGTCAACTGATTCGCGTTGGCCCTAAACTGTAATTTTAGGGCCAGTGCACTGGTCCGTTTTAGTTGTTCTGTCGGCCCGGACCTTACGCTAGTAATATATAGGTCAATGATTAAAGTGCGGTCTATGCACCGCAGTTGAGTGGAACAGAGTAGCTGAACTCAGTGACACTAGCAGGTAGGTGATGTTATAAGAAGTAA